AAGAACAGAACAATCGCTCGATGTCGCAAATAACTTGTCGTCGTAACATTTCACCTCAACAGCACTTTCGCCCTTGTCGTCGTATTCTATGCCGACCCAGAATCTCAGGGATGATGTTGTGCTCTTTTCTTCTGGGAATGTGCCTGGCACTGCTCGACTCTGTGTCGGATCAAAGTTGTGCCTGATGGATTGACTGTCAATTTAAACCTTCATTTTTGTACTTCGGACTACTTAGCTTTCATTACAGCTTTGGTAGATCCTAGCATAACTAACAATCGACTCTTAGCATTGAATCGTGGATTATCCCGTCCAATATTCGTTTGGCCGACAAAGACTTTTACAAATCACAACGGATTGATATGCTTATTGGGGCTAGTCTTTTTATGAACTGTTATGTGTTGGACAGATCAATTTAGCACCTAAACTTTCACTACTTCAGAAAGCCAGGTTAGGTTGGGTGATACTGTAGTTGCTTTGCAACTGACGTTTTGGACTTCACCCTGAGTCTTAAGCGCTACTAGGTCGTCCGTCGCTTCAGGAAGATAGAGAAATGACGCTAAATTCATTCGATTAAAGACTGGACACTATGCTATTCGGGGCTTATATCTACGCCAAAACCAAACCATCTACCTGTATTGACTCTTTTCGTGTTCATGGGCGACTGAAGAGTTCGGTCCTAAACTTCAACGCACAACATCCTGCTATATTCCCTAGACATCATCCAGAAACTTCGGTGATAATTTTGCATTTTCCCAGACGTTTGCACAACTAGCACAATCGGAGGCCGATAAACTGTATCAAGTGTTATAAATAAATGCACGATCTGTTTTCGAGCTCAGCTGAGATTTGCTGTATACTCGTACATCATTGCGGATCTTATAAATAATCGAGTCAACACGTCATATACTTTATGGTAACAGATCTCGATTTTTGCAGCCCATTCTTTTACAAGAATGCTATACGCAATAATCAACCTGTAAAGTGTTGCATATGTATTTTTATAAGCTTCGCCACAGAGGCCGTACATAAGGAGTTAATTATGGATCTCTCTAAGAATCTTTTGTAAACGCGCTTAAGCGTTTCATTCTTACACGCTATCGGCCGATACGCTTATGGTTGGACACCGCTACTAGCTTTACCGGCACGAAAAACGAACTTGCCGAGCTACGACGCCTTTTTCTTAATGAAGATCTCATCAAGGTCACATTTATTTGCCACATAACGGGAATTATTAACTCTAGATATTTGCTTCCAGTTTCAGAGCATACGGTTTATATAGACGTTTTAACATTTCGTTGCAACGGCTCCATTATCATTGTTTGAGCATTCTGACGTCACAAAGCTCAATATTAATTGCTCACTAGCAGCGAGTGTCATATTACCAGCAAATCTTTTTGAGTCGTTGGCGACAAGAGTACTTAACAATTCTGCAACAGCGTTTTAAGTGGCGTCTACAGAAACCTGGTCTCCATGTTAACGACGTTGTCTTTGTGGAGGACAAGAGCTTGCCACCGTTTAAGTTGCCATTAGCGAGAGTCGTCAAACTAATAAGCGCTTCAGATGGAATTGCAAGGATTGCAGAACTCAAGACGGCGACTGAAGTCACACGAAAGGCCATTGGGAAGCTATGCCTCTTCCCGAAGCCGGATGAAGTTGAAAGGATCAGTCTTCCAATGGGGGAGAATATTTGGCTACGCCGCCACTGTCAATAGAAAAATAAATGCGAGGATCACTGTCGACACCGTCAGCTTAATCGTCGCGACATTGCATACTCTCTGATTCATCTACACTCACCCGCATTATCTATTATATATTGAAATGTGCTCTGGGAAGCAAAGATAAACTCTATTATAGTTAAGCATTCCATTCGCTAGTTCCCATGTTCGCAAATTTGTATGTATTGTTTGTTGCTTGATCGTTCTTTTGAACACACGGGCTAATTCGAACCCTCTTGTGATCTTCAATAAAGTTATTAAAACCAATTCGATCTTATTATTTATTTGATTTTTGCTAAGAGTTTAGTCACCGAAAAAGCTACACAAATACATACATTACATTTAAAATTTTAATTAATTTCGTATTACATATAATTGTGTTTTGCGTCTTGATGTTTTTCCAACAAATGGAGGAACCTGCAGTTTATACCAAAACAAGTGAAGCAGCTACCTCCTTTGCGTTTTACGGTTGCTGCACATTGAGTGATAGGATTATCCTGCGGGTAATATTGTTTAACATCTGACTGGGAAAAATTAAATTTTGATTCATCTGTCCAAATTTATCTTTTCTAGTCATCTATGGTCCAATTTCAGTGCTGTCTGGGGAGATTTTCTTATGAAAAAAGTAGCTTTATTATTCACTGATGAAACATAGCAATTTCTAAGAAGCGCTCTTCTTACCGTACATCTGCTCACATCTTCACCAATAATTTTTTTTTTTAATAATTTTAACTATTTTAACTTTCCTTTATATTTCCAAAACTTTAATTTGTATGCCGAGTCATTTATATGAATATACATTTTACAGATTTCATGTTTGCTGTTAGCTTTATAATTGTTTTATGAAAACCTTTGCTTTTATTAATTTTTGCTGTTTCCCGTTATGAATTTAAAGAGATTGGTCGTGAATTTGGATCATCATGGGATAAGTTCAAGCTAAAATGAAAGTATGTTCCAAACTTTTAAATGCTGAATGTTTCTCAAAGTGACTCAAAGCTAGCCAGTAAGCGAGTGAACAGTCAGTCTGATGTTGAAACAGTTCCCATTCTTCCACAAAGAAAACTCCACTTCCGATTCAAGATCAAGTTTCACTTCCAGCTCCTAGCTCAATATATTTATCCTCACCTTATCGTAAAGTTAAAAAACCGTCCAATTCTCAGATGCAAAGTCTATCTCAAGTTTAATAATTCCTCACTCACATGCGGTTGGAAGTCATAATTTGCAAATTCTTGAGCTTTCTTTCAGGAAGTTGGTCGTGGTACCACCGAGAAAGTTTATATTTGTTACAAGATTTGTAAATAATATTGTACATCTGCTGACCAGTTAAGGCATTATATCTCGTCAAAATTAAATACGAGAAATATATCATCTGTTAATATCATCCCAGTTTGTCTGAGCTTTGTCTTAACCGGATTAATCCAGTATGGAGTAATCTTAATAAAATCTTGGAATTAGTATGTGAGGACATGCTTCAAATTTACTGTGACTCGGTGTGACCCTCTTGCTCTACCGGAGAGCATTTAACATCCTGCCTTGGAGATAAATTTTGAAACCATGGATAGTTATGGGGTTAATTTTGCATCATGTGCACCTGTTTCTTGTTCCCGTTTCAACTTCGCGAAAGCTAAGCAAGCCAAAAGCTGCCCAAATTTATTTGGCCAGACTACAATGGTAATATCAAAAAAAGTGGTCCTCATTTTAAAAATACAATTTTAACATTATTTAAAAATTTTAAGCCCAATGGTACAATTGCAATTGGTTTAACAAAACATCCTATAATGCTTACTCAATTGTGGTTAAAAAGAACATTTTATGTAATTCTTAGATGTTTATGATAACTCCAAACGCAGAGGCTCTTTGTTTCCGTCCTCCATAACATACAAAACTACTAAATCAAGTGACTTTCATAATATCTCCAATATGCTTGCACAATTTTTCAAATCTTGTGACTCAATTAATACACCTAGAAGCAATTGTAATACCAGTTGTTTCTCCCGAAGATGTGTTATGTGAATTGAAAACTCTATAGAGTTCTGCCGTTACTAATTTGCTTGAATGTGTTACTCATGTTTCAAATGGATTCATGGCAAATAAAAACAACGATGTTACATATACCGACTTTAGCAAAGTGTTCGACAGAGTTAATCATTTAATATTAATTAAAAATCTAGTTCTTCTTGGATACCAGCTTAATCTTCTCCAATGGATATCATCTTATCTTTGTAACAGAACATAAAGACTATTATTTAAAGATTACTTTTCGGACATTTATGTAACATCAGGCGTTCTTCATGGTAGCCACCTGGGTCCGATTCTGTTCTGTTATTAATTAATGAGTTGTGTCCAGTCATAAAATATTCAAAAATGTAAATGATGTAAAATCATAAACCTAAATTAACAAAAGGTGTTTTCTACAAACCGATTTAAGTAATTTAGAAATTTAGTGCAATAACAACGATATGCCTCTTAATGTTAACAAATCTAAAATTATGTTACTTTAATTTTATTTTGTGGGTATAACAGTGGACACTACACTTAATTTTAATTATTATATTAATTCTTCTGTTCTAAAGCAAAGCGATGGTTTTATTAAGCGATAACAAAATTAAATACCCTCATATTACTAAAATACTTTTACGTCAATAGTGCGCCAATATTAGAGTACGATTCAATGATGTGGAATCTTAATTATAATGTCCATTCTGATAAAATTAAGTCCGTTCAAAAACAGTTTTTGTTGTTTGTCTTCCATCGTCTAATAGTCGCTTAAAACTTATAGATCTACCCACACTTTCTAGCCGTAAAGAAATGATATAGGTGAAATTTTTAGTAAGACTTCTAAATGGACTGATTTCCAGTAAGTATGTCCCCGTCCGATTATCCTTTGGGCTTATTATTATTATTTTATAAAAAAAAATACTATACTACTATACTAAAAACGTGGCTAAAGAGAGGATTTTCCCTGGTTTTATTTTAGATTTATTTATGAATTGAATAGCAATTATAATGCACATAAAAAAGTAATATGTTAATAAAATTTGATAAGCCCAGCATTCTCTGATCTCCATAAGTATACAAAGAGATTTGTACATACATACATGTGCGGTTGGCTTATTGAACAACAGAAATATTTTTTAAAAAGTAAGTGATAGTTGGCAAAAATCAATATTCAAATTTCCATAGGTATAAATGTTCACCTATACTAAGGAAAGGACATATGTATGCTTGTGAATATTTCTATGTAGAAATAACAATATTTAAGAAATTAAAAATTGTTTTACATACCTGAGCATTGAGAATTAGATGACATTTGTTGACAAGTTTTCGCTGGACAGATAATCCTTATTTCTATTGTAATAGTCGTTCGATTATTTAAACAACCATTTCAGGTTAAAATCAGTCGTTAAAACGTTGCGTATACGATGGAAATGTAGTTCATTTATTTAAAAAAGCGCACACATATTTTTCGATTTTTTAAATTAAATATTTGTATTTTTGGTGGAGTTTAATTTGCGAAAAATAAAAAATAAACACATTAATGAAAGAGAAATAATTAGTTACAAATATGTCCATTCAAACTTCTCATTACATATATTTTCACGCATCCAGTTTTGAATTTCACTATGCTTATGAGCGTTTATTTAATTTTGTATTTTTAAGCTAGAAAAAAGATAAGTATCTTTGAATGTTTACATAATTCTTCACACAGAGGCTATGCAATGAGATTTTAATTATACGATGTCTAAAGATACTGCATTACGACGACAATACATTTTTTTATTGGGAGCCAACATCGAGCTAAAATCGCATACTCTTAGAAGTCCGTTAATTTGAGAATTTGAGAAGAGAAATAAAAATTTGATAACGAGAAATAATATAATTCCCTAAACTCTCATCGTCGTCAAATAAAAAATGTGGCGCAATTTTCTGTTAATGTCGGAGGCGCGAGCTGATGGTATCCTAGAATTTAGTTTAGTTCGTACTTGAACACTATATTTAGGTACCGAAAATGTATGTAAACTTTGTATCTAGCATGACGAAAATGCCATTAAGCAATTTATGATGAAGTTAAGCTAAAATAAAATAATTGGAAGAATCTACATCCTCGAATATGTATATATATGTAAAAAAGTTATATTAATTTTAAATTAGACTATTACAGTTGCACAGTAAACAAATATAGAATACTTCAAATTGGAAAAATAAAAAATAAGTTATTGAAATTCTTTTGCATAGGATTTTTCCCTTAACGGATTGAGGCTCATCAACCGGGGCCCGATATATGGTTGTCTGTAGTACTAGATTCCTGCGCAATCGATCGAAACACACAAAGCCAGATCGATCATGTTGTGATAGACGGAAGACATGTCTCCAGTGCTCTTTACGTGCGTGCACTTCGAGGACCCAACATCGACTCGGACCACTATCTTGTTGCAGCGAAGATACGTATGCGCATTTGTGTATCGAAAAAAGCTCGTCAACAAACACAAGGAAAGTTCGACGTTGAAAAGTTGCAATCACAACATACAGCCGAACGATTTTCTAATCGACTGAGAGCACTCATCAGCAACTCGATATACGGGACCTGTGGGACGGCATTTCAAGCTCTTTAAGTACAGCTACAAACGAAACTATTGGATTTCGTAAAGGTGGCAAAAACAGCTGGTACGATGAGGACAGCTGTGCCGCAGTGGAGAGAAAACATACCAGCTACGTCGCACGTTCTACGTTGCGATCGACTACAACACCCATCTGCAGACAAAAATAGAAAGAGGACGAGATGTGTGAGTATGAAGAGCTGGAAGAGATGGAGAAGTTGGCCGAAAAGGGTAATGCTCGAAAATTCTAACAGAAAATACGACGACTTAAGGAAGGTTTCCGGAGCAGACTCTTGTAGGACACAAAGAGGTGATCTAGCCACCGATGCACAGAGTATACTGGATTTATGGGGGGAACAATTCTTCAGGCTGCTGAAGATGGAGTATCTAGAGATGGTGAACCATAAACCCCAATCGATTATAATGGAAAAGACGTTAATAGCAAACGCCCGCTTAAGAGACAACAAAGCGGCGGGAGCTGACGGCCCACCGGCAGAACTATTCAAACATGGCGGCGAGGAGCTGACAAGGTTCATGCAGCAGCTATTTTACGGAAAATGGTCGGAAGAAACCATGCCTGACGATTGGACTTTAAGTGTGCTCTGTCCAACGCATAAAAAAGTGAATCCCACTGTTTGCGCCAATGATTGTGGGATAAGCCAGCTTAATGTCGCATATAAGGACCTCTTAAGCGTATTGTGTGAGAAACTAAAACCAACCGTCAACAATTTGGACCTTATCAGCATGGCTTCAGTTATAGACCATGCGCCAAGTGTATCGAAGCGGATCGACACACCACCTCTTCGTCGATTTTAAAGCCGCCTTCGACAGCACGAAAAGGAGCTGCCCTAACGCCGCTATGTCTGAGTTTGGTATCCCCGCAAAACTTACGCAGCTGTGTGAACTGACCTTGAGCAACACCAAAAGCTCCGTCAGGATAGGTAAGGACCTTTCCGAGCCGTTTGCTACCAAACGAGGTTTCAGACAAGGCGATTCTTTACGGTGTGACTTTTTAGCTTATTGCTGGAGAAAATAATTCGAGTTGAAGAGCTGAACAAAGAAGGTACAATCTCCTATAAGAGTATACAGCTGCTGGCGTACGCCGATGATACTGACATTATTGACCTCAGCAACCGCGCCGTTAGATCTGCTTTCTCCAAAATTTGATGAAGAAGCGAAGCAAATGGGTCTGGTAGTGAATGAGGACAAGACGAAATATTTCCTATCATCAAACAAACAGTCATCGCATTCGCGACTCGGCTCCCACGTCACTGTTGACAGTCATAATTTTGAATTCTATCTAGGAACCAGCATCAACACCAACAAAAATGTCACGTCACTGTTGACAGTCATTATTTTGAATTCTATCTAGGAACCAGCATCAACACCAACAAAAGTGTTTTTTTGAGATCCAACGCAGAATCACTCTTGCCAACAGGGGCTATTTACTAAACCAAACCAAGGAACAAAAACCAAACTCTACAAGTCCATAAACATTCCCGTTCTGCTATATGGTGTGGAAGCATGGACGATGACAAGATCTGATTAGTCGGCCTTAGATCCTTTGCATACGAGTTATACGGCGACATCGATATAAGTCAGCGAATCGAGAAGCAGCGGCTACGTTGGCTAGGTCTTGTGGTCCGGATGGATGCGAATACTCCAGTTTTGAAAGTTTTCGATGCAGTACCTGTCGGTAGAAGCAGGAGAAGAGGAAGACCTCCACTCCGTTGGAAAGGCCAGGTAGAGAAGGACTTGGTATTTCAAATTGAAGCCAAGCAGCAAAGAGAAGAAACCAATAGTGCAATGTTGTTAACTCGGTTACAATCGTGTAAGCGGTATCTGCGTCAGTAAAATAAATAAGTTAGTTACAAGTCAATTATTATTTTTGCAATAAATAGCTTTAGTAACCCGAATCTCGCGTTCTATAGGTGCGATTGGATTACGCATTGCTCCTCGGCAGGGACTCGAATATTTTAGACAGTAGATACATATAAGTGTCTGGAACCAAATAGGTAACTTGAACTAAAGAATTTGAATCACACAGAATCTGAGTGGGGCTTTGGGTGTGACCGAGAACGATATGTATACGAATTATAGCTCTCTCATATATATGTATGTATCTAAATATATGTGGGAACGTGTGAACAGCACATTAGGACATTATAAGTAACTTTGACGGACGAATACAACACTGATACTGACAACACGTAAACCCGGACATAAAATTTGAACTAACGAACGAACTGAACAAAAAACGACAGTTAATGTAAATTTGAATAAATAAAAGTGATTTTTGAACTAACGAAAAATAAAATAAGAAATGTAAATTTGAATAAATAAAGTGATTTATATTGGGCCCTACAAGTGGTGTCAGAGTGAGATTACGAAAAAGAGAAAAAAAAAAGACAAAACTCCTACGCCGATGTGCCGATGTGCATACATACGTATATATGTATATGCGAATATTTTGTTCAAAAACAAAATAGTAAGTGCGTATTAAAAGACGTTCGAATGCGCTTAGCGAAAACAAATGTAAAATATTTTCTTAATAAAATATTAGAACTTTAATTAAAGTGACTTGCGTTCATAAAAAGACAATTTATCGGGTACAGTCCCTAAACTGTCCGTCGCAATTTATCGAGTACAGTCCTCAAACTGTACGAATCATAAAGCACCGTTATTCTCGGGAGAAATAATGTGCCGTTGTTTAAATTTCTAGTAGCGGTAAAAGTACCGTTGAGAGGGAAAAGTACAGTGCGTGTACGATTCTGTTAAAAATTCAAGGCGTAACCAAGAGCAGTGGACTCTTATACGAGCAGCGAATTTTTATGTGGTTAACTTCTGGGTGAGGTTGAGCCAGTTAAATTTCTGGGTGAAAGAACAATAAAACAAGTTTTATAAATCAACGTTATTGAAGTCGCTTTGAACTTTTGAGTGTGGATAGAGGCACTTCATTATAGCAGTAATACGGATACGTATCATTCGATTCGACCTCGTAGTTGTCTTCTGGGTGAAGCAGCAAGTACGAAACAGAAAATCAGAGTACGCAAACGTAAAGCGTCACAAAAATTCTGAGTGAATTTTAAATAATCGGCGAAGTGGTTGTTACTGAGAACAACGAATAGCAAAGCGAGAACACATGAATACAGTACGAACACATACATATATGCCTTTAAGCAAAACAACTGTGTTGAACGAAGCAGCGAAGTTAACAGCAACATCGAAGCAGAGAGCAGCAGCAGAAGCAGCATGATCAGCAGCGAAGAGCAGAGAAGGAGCAAGTAAAGCAAAGCATTAGTTAAAAATAGCAATACGTTAAGGTATAGTCTACTTTTGTATTTCTTTCTCTTTTGTTTTAATGAGAAGTAGAGATTTGATGAGCGCAAAGATTAATAAGAATAAGAATTTTTGAAAGTAAAGAAGAAGAAAACGAAAATGTAAATGTAAACAAAGAATGTAAGAATAACTTGTATTTTATTGACATACAATAGTTTTGATATATGCTAAAAGCGCATAAATAGACCATTAAGTCGAATATCTGAAGAAGTTTAAAATTAAATAATAGAGTTTAAATTGGATTAGAAAAGTTAAATTTGAAGAACAAAAAACATTTTGTAGCTATTTATTATTTTAGTTGTATGATTATAAAACATTGTATTTAACATGGACCGAGAACAGATTTTTAGACTGACAGTAAACGAACTCAAAGACAAGTTAAGTGGGTTAAATCTGTCCACAATGGGAAGG